TGCGACTGATTTATACCCATTTGTGCAGATTCCAGACGGGTTTAAAATAACCCCGCTGGCAATGTCGGATGCTGTCGCGATTGCTAAAGATTTGCCAGATCCTTTACGGTGTCCGCATCAATATGTGTCTGTATTTAAGCGTTTAACCGCGTACAGTCAATTGACTGGGCGTGATTATCGCTTCATTTTGACTAAAACACTGCTGCCAGAAATTACAGAGGAAGAGTTGATTGCAGACATTGATGCTTTGAGTCCTAAACGGGATGCGCCGCCATCTCGCCACGGTGCTTTATCAAAAGGCAAGGCAAGTTTATTTGTATAGCACATTTCATACACAATGGTAATTCAAAGTGCTTTACATAAAAGAAAAGAAAATAATAATAACAAATAATCACAAAAATAAAACACGGAATTTAAAAACTTTGAAAATGATTTAAAAAATTGATTTAAGAGGTTTAAAATTAATTTAAGAAGACGATTTACATATAATATAGTGCAATCGGTTCGGACATCGCACAGTGCTCATTCAATAAATGTGCAGCTAAACAGATGAGTTTTGAGTCTGCATTTAAATTTGACTAATGTTTTAGCACATCTGATCTCTTCTGGAAGCTGATTCCAACTGCGGGCAGCATAATAATTAAAAGCGGACTCACCTTGTTTTGTGTGAACCCTTGGTATTCCTAATGATCTGAGTGGTCTGTTAGGTTTATATTCAGTGAGCATATCTGCTATGTATTTAGGTCCTAGGCCATTGAGTGATTTATAAACGAGTAAAAGTACTTTAAAATCAACCCTAAATATAACTGGAAGCCAGTGTAAGGACCTGAGGACTGGTGTAATATGCTCAGATTTTCTGGTTCTAGTCAGAATTCTGGCAGCAGCGTTCTGGATGAGCTGCAGCTGTCTAATGGTCTTCTTGAGAAGGCCGGTGAGGAGACCATTACAATAGTCCACCCCGCTGGTGATAAAGGCATGAAGTTTCTCCAAGTCTTGACTGGAAACAAAACCTCTAATTCTTGCAATGTTTTTGAGATGATAGTATGCTGATTTAGTTACAGCTTTGACATGACAACTGAAACTAAGGTGATTGCAAAAATCAGACAATATTGTGTCTAATATATACAACAATATTAACTTCTTCTTATTAAAATGTTGTAAATAAATATCACATTTGCAGCTGGTCAGTGTTAAAAAAATGCTGGAAAATCATTTCATGTAGCCCTACAAGAGTGATTACTGATAAATCACCCACTGACTTTAAAAGCTGATACATAGTAACGACTTTCTACTTCGAGGACCTTGATAGAAATGTAGTGGAGTGAAAAGTACAATATTTTTATTTCAAATGTAGTGAAGTTAAAGTCATAAGTTCCCAGAAAAAATAATACTCAAGTAAAGTACCGATACTCAAAAAGTGTACTTAAGTACAATACGCAGGTAAATGTACTTAATTACTTTCCGCCTCTGCTTACAACTCATCTTTTGATAATCAAAATTACGTTGTTTCTAGTGACAATTTTTTTCTTCATGCCTTAAAATGGCTTGAATGTAACTCTACATCCTTACCTCATTTATTATGCGCGGGGTCATGAATATGCAAATTCATTACACCAGCTCGGACCTGCTCCACTTTCACTCGATTAATAGCTTCACAAGGACAAGTGGCAATTTAAGATGAATTCAGCCATATATGATTGAAGCAGAAACTAATTTCTTTGAATTAGAGAATTCATACATGGTTGTTACATTACAAGAATGGTAATGTATTTTATGTATTGCTCCATACATAACATACATCTACATAATCAGACATGCAGCGGTAATTGATATGGTTAGCTTCTGACTTTAATACGTTATTAAACAGCTAATAATGTATTGAATATATTACACAAACCATGTTCCAATAATATGCTAATGATATGAAAAGCCCCGCCCCGCAACGTGACAGGATTGGTCACATGTCTGTAATAGTAAAATAATGTAAACAAGACATGTAAACAATGTTAAAAACGTGATTTTCACCACAGGGGGTCTTTAAAAAAAGCAACAACATCAAATGGATTTTGCATTAGATATAAAATATCAATACTAGTGGGATTTGCAAACAAATGTACATTTGGCATACATATATATCTTTTACGTCTAAATATCCTTTGGATACACTGTAGATCAAAATACCTCCTGATATCATTGGACCAAGTACATATTTTCAAAATAACATTTTCTAAAACCAAATTTGTCCATTTTTCTCGTATAGGCCCCAGAGAGGTCTCTGTATGACTGTTTACATCAGAGCACTGAGGGCTATGATAACAAACTCCACCGTGATGACAGAAAACATGCCAAATCCCGGGGCCTGGACATCTTCAGTGAGGTGCACTTTTTCCCAAAACTCCACAGCGATCCGTCCATGTCAGCTCGGCAGTCCATGCATTCTGTGTGTTGTTCTTTTTTTTAACAATGCTCTCTAGAGGAACTAGATCCCAATACAGCTCAACCTCCCATCTTAGGAATCATCTAGACCAGCACCTGTTCTGTCCTCTTCTGTGTATGGCCGGTTTTCACCGCTGCAGTACGACTCAGGGAGGAGCTTTGCTCGTGTTGCTCACATTCGTTCTGATTTCTACAGTAAGAATGGGATCACCTGGACCGTGGAGGAAAGCTATGGATCTGTGACACCCGTCTAAATCCGTCTCTTATATATGGTTACATATGTCACTGCACATTACAGACAATGTCAAAACATATGTGTAATGCTACAAGCAGAGCAGATTGTTACTTAGCCTACATCCGTACAGTATATGTATTAATCACATGAATGTATTTGATGTTACACGGTGAATTAAAAAACAATCTGTCAACATGCTAATGTCATAATTCATGCCTAAACAAAAGAATCAAAAATAAGAAATTCTATGCTGCAGTATTAATTAATATTATAAAATAATGAATATGAATTAATACATGAAGCCTATTTTTAACCCAAAACATCCCAAATTCTCTTTTCTAAATACTATAAGAAAGCATATATAAAGCATTTACAAGTAAGAAAGTGTATATATATATATATATATATATATATACTGTATATATATATATATATATATATATATATATAT